AAAAAAAAAAAAAAAAAAAAAATTAGCTGGGCATGGTGGCGCATGCCTATAATCCCAGCTACTCAGGAGGCTGAGGCAGGAGAATTGCCTGAACCCAGGAGGCATAGGTTGCGGTGAGTCGAGATCGTGCCATTGCACTCCAGCCTGCGTAACATGAGTGAAACTCCGTCTCAAAAAATAAATAAATAAATAAAATAATTAGCCAGGCATGGTGGTGCACACCTATAGTCCCAGCTACTTGGGAGCTGAGGCAGGAGAATCGCTTGATTCTAGGAGGTAGAGGTTGTAGCGAGCCAAGACCACACGTTGCACTCCAGCCTGGGTGACAAGAGCAAAACTCCATCTCAAAAAAATAAAAGAAAAAAGCTACAAAAACACAGAAGGCACAGTAGCTCTTGCCGGTAATCCCAGCACTTTGGGAGGCCAAGGCGGTCGGATTACATGAGGTCAGCAGTTTGAGACCAGCCTGGCCAACGTGGTGAAAGCCCATCTCTACCAAAATTACAAAAATCAGAGGCATGGTGGTGGGTGCCTGTAGTCCCAGGTACTGGAGAGGCTGAGGCAGGAGAATCTTTTGAACTTGGGGGGCCGAGATCGTGCCCCAAAATAATAAGTAAAATAAAAATGCTAGAAAAACACAGCGCGTTTGTCTCCAAGCAAGCTGATTAATGGTGCGCCCACACGCGTTCATGTTCTTCGTAAGCCGTCTTCCTGCCCAAGTAGAAATCAAGCCTCGACCTGGGAAAAGCATCAACAGAAGGATCTGTCGGCCCCGGCGCGCCGACCGGCGGCTGGAAGACCCGCCCGGGAGCCCGGGAGGACGGGGCCCCGCCGAAGGGGAAGCTCGCGCACTCCCGGGGCAGAGGCTCCAAGGAGACGGGCGCGGGGCCAGCGCCGTCTCCACAACAGGGCAGGGCGCGCGGCTGCGGGGAGGCCTCGGCCCCGCGCGCCCCTCCCCGGCCCCGCGCCCCCGCCCTCGGCGGCCCCACGTGCTCCCCTCCCCCGACCGCGAGGGCAACGGGCGCGCGGGACGCCAGACCAGGAAGGCCCGCGACCTCCGCGGCTCTGCGGGGAGCTCCCCTCGGGGCCGCGGCCTCCGAGCCCGGGTGTCTTCGGCCTTGAAGGCGCCGCAGCTTCCTCGGCCTGGAGGCCCCGGGCTCGCTCCGCGCGGACCCCGCTCCCGAACCCGCCCGGCGCGCAGATGCCGTGTCCCGGGGCAAGGCCGGCGAGGGCGCGACACCGGACACTCGGCCGCCGCGGGCCTGCCCTTCCCGGCTCCCGAACCGCGTCCCCGGGCTCCGAGCCAGCGCTGCGCCCACCCCAAGCCGGCCCGCCCCGCGCAGCTGCCCGCAGGCCGACCGGAAGCCCGCGCCCGCGCCTGCGCCCCACCCCTCCGCCCGCCTCCCGCGGCACTGCGGCGGTTACCAGGACGCTGACCCCGCGCAGCCAATAGCGCCAGCCTGACAGCGTGCTCCCGGGAGCCAGCCAATGACAGGGCAAATCAATCATTTGAAACACCCAATGGACGGAGCGCTGCTGCGCCAGGTGGGGGGTTTGTGATAGGGCGATCGAAGGCTGCGGCCGACCAATAAAGACCCAACGGGGTTGAAAAGGCGGACCTTAGGCGGGCTGATTGACGGGAATGCGGCCAATGAAACGAGGGAGCTTTCCAGCCTCGTTCTCGCAGCCAAATCCGAGGCTGCCGGAGGCGGGCGCAGAGGGTATATAAGCATTGGCGAAGCGTCGGTTGTAGCAGTCTGCGCGCCTGCTTCTCCGCCTGTGTTTCTGTGTCTCTGCCCTCGTCCCCGCCGCCGCCGCCGCCGCCGCCATCATGAGGGAGATCGTGCACCTGCAGGCCGGGCAGTGCGGCAACCAAATCGGCGCCAAGGTGAGCTGCCGGGGCGCTGGGGCCGGCGCGGGTCGCCCGGGCGGGACGGCCGGGTAGCCGGGGAAGATGGCGGCAGCGGCGGGCGGGCGGCGCCCCCGCATTGCGGTCGCTGGGCCCTTGGCGCGGGGAGGCCGAAGCCCCCAGGAACCCGGCGGCTGGGGCGCGTGGGGCGGGGGAGGGGACGGGGAGGGCCGGGCTGCCGCGCCCGTCCGGGGCGGGGCTGCCTCCCTGCGCACCGGCCGCGGTGACTCAGCCCCGGCCCGCCCGGGCCCGCCCGCGTCCCTTGCAGTTCTGGGAGGTGATTAGCGATGAGCACGGCATCGACCCCACGGGCACCTACCACGGGGACAGCGACCTGCAGCTGGAGCGCATCAACGTGTACTACAACGAGGCCACCGGTGAGGCCCTGGCCCCTTCTCCGACCGCCCTCCCCGGTCCCCGCGGCCCCTGCCCTGGCTGACGCCCTCCTGTCCCCGCAGGCGGCAAGTACGTGCCCCGCGCAGTCCTCGTGGATCTGGAGCCCGGCACCATGGACTCCGTGCGCTCTGGGCCCTTCGGGCAGATCTTCCGGCCGGACAACTTCGTTTTCGGTGAGCCGCGGCTGGGGGCTGGGGCTGGGCGGTGGCTCAAAGGTCAAGGGGCGGCTGCAAGGGCACTGCCGTGGGAACTGCGCAGCCAGGGCCCCTGGACCCCTGGACCCCTCCTCCCCTGAGCCGCTCAATCCCCTCTTCTAAATCGGCTTTGGGAGCAAGGTCCAGCTGTCTGCCGAGGCGAGGAGCCGCCGCACACGTAATCTCCGTGCAGGGAGCTGAGCTGGGGGCAGTGTCGGCTGGTCTGTCCTTGGGAATTGGCAGGGCCCCTGACTTCATTTTGACCCGGCAGGCTCTCGATCTTTCGCTTTGAGGGTCCCTTTGCGCTACGTGCAGGGTGGATTCTGCGGTCAGCGCACACCACGTGCTTGGCTTTTTTCCCCATGGTGTTTGTGACCAGTAGTGCCATCTACCTGGCTAACAAATGACGAACTGTGTTCTCTCACAGGTCAGAGTGGTGCTGGGAACAACTGGGCCAAGGGGCACTACACAGAAGGCGCAGAGCTTGTGGACTCGGTGCTGGACGTTGTGAGGAAGGAGGCTGAGAGCTGTGACTGCCTGCAGGGTTTCCAGCTGACCCACTCCTTGGGTGGGGGGACTGGGTCTGGGATGGGTACTCTCCTTATCAGCAAGATCCGGGAGGAGTACCCAGACAGGATCATGAACACGTTCAGTGTGGTGCCCTCCCCCAAGGTGTCAGACACGGTGGTGGAGCCCTACAATGCCACTCTCTCAGTCCACCAGCTTGTAGAGAACACCGATGAGACGTACTGCATCGATAATGAAGCTCTCTACGACATCTGCTTCAGAACCCTCAAGCTGACGACGCCTACCTACGGGGACCTGAACCACCTGGTGTCTGCCACCATGAGTGGGGTCACCACCTGCCTGCGCTTCCCAGGCCAGCTCAATGCTGACCTGCGCAAGCTGGCTGTGAACATGGTCCCATTCCCCCGCCTGCACTTCTTCATGCCTGGTTTCGCCCCACTGACCAGCAGGGGCAGTCAGCAGTACCGCGCCCTGACAGTGCCCGAGCTCACCCAGCAGATGTTTGATGCCAAGAACATGATGGCGGCCTGCGACCCCCGCCATGGCCGCTACCTGACGGTGGCCGCCGTGTTCAGGGGCCGCATGTCCATGAAGGAGGTGGACGAGCAAATGCTTAATGTCCAAAATAAGAACAGCAGCTACTTTGTCGAGTGGATCCCCAACAACGTGAAAACGGCTGTCTGTGACATCCCACCCCGGGGGCTAAAAATGTCCGCCACCTTCATTGGCAACAGCACGGCCATCCAGGAGCTGTTCAAGCGCATCTCGGAGCAGTTCACTGCCATGTTCCGGCGCAAGGCCTTCCTGCACTGGTACACGGGCGAGGGCATGGACGAGATGGAGTTCACCGAGGCCGAGAGCAACATGAACGACCTGGTGTCCGAGTACCAGCAGTACCAGGACGCCACGGCCGAGGAGGAGGGCGAGTTCGAGGAGGAGGCCGAGGAGGAGGTGGCCTAGAGCCTCCAGTCACCGGGAAAGCAGGGAAGCAGTGTGAACTCTTTATTCACTCCCAGCCTGTCCTCTGGCCTGTCCCGCTGTGTGTGCACCTGCTGTTTTCCCTTCCATATTCCATGCTGTACAGACACCACCATTAAAGCTTTTTCATAGCGTGTGGTCTCGCCGCGCCTGTTCCTTCCAGTAGGCCTTCCGGGTGCTGTTGCCGAACGTCAGCGCGTAGTTGTCCTGCATGGCTGCGGGGACCGAGGCTGCTGCTGAGCTGGGCTTTTCACACACAGGGACAAGCATGGGCTGGATACCGGGCTTCAGAGGAGTTCGGGGCTGCCCCAGGCATCTGCTTCCTGAAGCAAGCCTGGCCCGTCCTGGGTACCAAACCTTAGGGGGCCAGGTGGCCTGAGTCTGGGGTGTTAATAGGAGAGCCCAGTGACCCCCATCCAAAAGGGGCAGGGAGAATGGCCAACAGTCCTACCCCAAGGTGGAACCTGGGGACTGGTCAGACAGGTGGTTCTGAACCAGCAGTGAAGGGTGGACAGCTGGAGCCCCAGCCACCCCTCCCCACAGTGGCCGGCGTGTGTCCGTGTGACCCTGTCCTAAGAAGCTGGGCATGGAGTCCCCTACTCACAGGGGATGAACCCCATGTAGAAGGGGATCAGGCCTTGGTTGCTGTAGATGTGGTGGTTGGGCCAGTGTGTTTCCGGCAGCTTCTCGCCCAGGTCGCAGTGGGGGTTTCTGAATAGGAACTGGGAGACAGGCAGGTGCTGAGGAGCTGCCTCCCTCAAGGGCAACCAGACAGCACAATGTCCATGGGGGCCTGACGGGGGTGGGGGGACGGCACTCTCCGCGGGAAAGCCGCTCAATGTCCCAGCCTCCTGCATCCCCACCCCAGGATCCAAGACGCAGGAGAGGGGGTTGGGGCGCTCCCTCTGGGCACAGGAGACAGCCAGGCAGGTTCCCCTCACCAGGCTTCTCAGGGAGCCTGGCCTTCAAGGCCCCTCCAGGGGAGCTGCCAGACTGGAGGAAGTTGTGAGCTGGGAGCAGGCCCGGGACGGCGCTCTCCTACCTGGCTCTTGTCAAACTCGTCCATGGCCTGTGTGACACCGTCTCGGTAATTGACCCCCATTACCCAGGAGAACCGGGGAATGAAGCCAGTATAGCCTAGGGTGGGCAGAAGTGCAGGTCCTACCCAGGCCCTTTGACCTTCCCCCAGCCATACCCACCTGACCCAGAATGCGTCAGGGAAGCCAGGTAAGGCTCTCTTTTCTTCCCTGGATGTTGGCGACTGCCTGCTGTGGCCAAAAGGGAAGAGGCAGGCAGGACAAAGCTGGACTCCTGGAAGCAGCAGGAGGCAGCGGAGGTTCCCCCAGCCTGCTAACCCGCTCCAGAGCAGGAAAAGCAGCCCTTGCGGCAGCCTTTTCGGGGGCCCTCACGCCCCTGGAGCCTTGCGGGGAGGGACGTCCTCGTCCAGCCCAGCCCTGCGCCCACCTGAGATGGCCTTCCGTTGGATTAGGTTGGGGTGGTCCAGCTGTGGCAGGCGCTGGAACTTACACACATCTAGTGTCTCCTGCTGGTGAGTGTGGGGGGGGTACTCATCCCTCCGGCAGTGGTACAGCTGCAGTACGGAGGACAGAGGTCGTCCTGCAGCTGCCACCCACAGCCGAGCCGGAATGGGCTGGGCACAGACTGGTGCATCCCGTACCTGCTGGTGCCTGGGGGCCTCACAGACAGGGGCGGCGTTCCTCCAGGCCTCTTCCTCCAAGGCCAGCCACAGGCCTGGGTGTCCCGAGCCTCTGGAGTCCCCCTTCCTGCCTGGTGGGCACAGGGGGTGGGGGGGGCAAGGCATGACACCGGCAGGCAGCAGCAGGTGTCTGGATATGTTCTCTACCCCTGGCGGCTCTGGGGCGTCCACATCCAGGGGTGGCAGCTGGCCCCGGATCTCGAAGTTCTTGTAGGGCTTCAGACCTGTACGAACAGAGCAGCCTGTGAGTGCCAGGACGGGCGGGCACGGGCAGGCGTGGGGCCGGGGATGGCAGCTCACTGGTGTAGTGGGGAACGTAGGGCTCAGTCAGGTCTCGGCAGGGAACCCGGGGGGGCCTGGACTGGCTGAAGTCCTCAATGAACTTAGGCTTGGACATGGGGGACAGCACAGAACAGGGGCTCTTCTGCACGCTGGGGTCTGTGAGCAGCTGGCCCGTGGTGCGCCCGTAGGTGTTCCCCACCTGGAAGCGCAGCTGCGGGTAGAAGCCGGCATAGCTGTGAGGGGAGAGAGGAGGCGGGGCGGGGCTCACGGGCAGCCCAGTGCTGCGCAGGGCCTGTCAAGCCAGGCGGGGGTCCAGTCTGCCCGCCACTGCGCAGCGGCCTGGCCCTCCGCAGGTCCCCTGCCCTCTGCTCACCTGCAAATGGGACTGCAGAGGCACTCGCCTTCTGGGGCTCTCGTAGGCTGAACGGGCAGCACGCAGCAGGTGCTGAGGATGTGTCAGCACACAGCCGATGGCTGCCGGCCTTGTACAGGCTACGAGAGCCTTCCAACCCCTCCCGACCCTCACCCCAATGGCCAACGAGTCAGGGGTTCTCTGCCCTGGCAAAGCAAGTTCAGGCACAGGACGTGGGCCAGGGCCTAGGCAAGGGGCGGCCCCTTGGACATAGGCTGGGCCTGCCAGGAGTGTGTGCGGTGGGCTTGGCCTGCCCCCTGCCACCCCAGGAGGCCAGTGGCGTCTTGCAAGAACCGGGCCTGGGGCTGGGCTTTTTGGGGCCTTCATTCGGCCTGTGGGGCGTGTCGCAGGTGGTGTGGGCGGTTCAGCGCCTCAGGGGCTGCGTGATCACTGAAGGAGCGAGAACGGCCTTTGTTTCAAAAATTGCCAACGGGCCCAGAGTGGTGGCTCACACCTGTAATCCCAACACTTTGGGAGACCTAGGCGGGCTGATCATGTGAGGTTGGGAGTTCAAGACCAGCCTGGCCAACATGGTGAAACCCCGTCTCTACTAAAAATACAAAATTAGGGCCGGGCGCGGTGGCTCACGCCTGTAATCCTAGCACTTTGGGAGGCCGAGGCGGGTGGATCACGAGATCAAGAGATCGAGACCATCCTGGTCAACATGGTGAAACCCCGTCTCTACTAAAAACACAAAACATTAGCTGGGCATGGTGGTGTGTGCCTGTAATCCCAGCTACTCGGGAGGCTGAGGCCGGAGAATTGCCTGAACCCAGGAGTTGGAGGTTGCGGTGAGCCGAGATCGCGCCACTGCACTCCAGCCTGGGCAACAAGAGCAAAACTCCGTCTCAAAAAAAAAAAAAAGTTTATTTATACATAAATAGAAATTAAAGTGTGGAGTTCTCTATGGAGTGGGCGGCAGGCACTTCCTAGCCAGCCTGTGCCTGCTGGTCGGCTGCCCCGGTTTCTGCTCCGCAGGCGTGTGGCCCCTGGCGTGGTGTCTGCAGTGGTGCAGCAGCAGGGAGGGTGAGGGCTGGGCCTCTGACAGCCCCGTCCCCGAGCGTCCCCTGTCCCAGGCCAGCTCTGGCCCCTCGCCGCTGGCCTCCATGCCTCAGGCCCAGCCCTGCTCCCCTCCTGCAGCCCTGGCTCAGCCCCCCGAGCTCCCGGTCTTACCCAGGGATATAGTGCGGCTCTGGCGTGAAGAGGCTGTGTTTCTGAGTAGCTGTCATTTTGCTTCCACTCTGGCCTTGCTGACTCCTGTCCTTCCCGGTGTCCAGTCCCCTTCTCTGAGGGGAGTCCCGTTGCCGGGCAACCATTGTGAGGGGCCAGCATTGTGGGCGCCTCCCGGGCCAGGCCACCTCGCTAACCCCGTGAGCGCCCCCATTGCACAGGTGACTCACAGAGGCCGAGACGTGTGCCAGGCTGGAGAGGGGTCACGGTGAGGCAGGGGGCCTGTGGGGAAGTCCCATTAACTTCAGGGCTGAGAAAACAGGACTGACCCTCCAGGAAGGGCCTGGGCTCTTGGGGTGGGCCCCCAGGAGGCCAGCAGCCCCTGCCTCCAGGTGAGGCGACGGGAGCCCCCAGGACCCTCCTCTGACAGGACTCCCTTGCGGCTGCAGAGCCTCGGAGCCTTCGCTGGGGTCGGGGGCTGCCTGGCCTGCAGGGCTGAGCGGACTCTTCCTCCCGTGGGCCCTTCACGCAGGGCAGGGCATTGTGCTTACGTTTTAAACAAATCCTGAATTTTATTCTTTTCTACAGGAAGGAGTTCCTAACCATAAAAATGAAGGAAGGTGGCCGGGTGCGGGGCTCACACCTGTGATCCCAGCACTTTGGGAGGCCGAGGCCGGCGGATCACCTGAGGTCAGGAGTTCGAGACCAGCCGGATCAACATTGTGAAACCCTGTCTCTACTAAAAATACAAAAATTAGCCGGGTTTGGTGGCAGGAGCCTGTAGTCGTAGCCGAAGCTACTCGGGAGGCTGAGGCAGAAGAATCGCTTGAACCTGGGAGGCTGAGGTTGCAGTGAGCTGAGGTCACACCACTGCACTCCAGCCTGGGTGAAAGGAGACTCTGTCTCAAAAAATAAAAAAGAAGGGAGGGAAGGCTGGGCACTGTCGCTCATGCCCATAGTCCAGGCACTTTGGGAGGCTGAGGCGGGACGAGGTGGGTGGATTGCTTGAGCCCAGGAGTTTGAGCCAAGTGAGCAACACAGGGAAACCGTGCGTCTACAGAAAAGAAAGAAAAATTAGCCAGGTGTGGTGAGCGTGCCAGGTACTCGGGAGGATGAGATGGGAGGAGGGCCTGAGCCCAGGAGGTGGAGGAGCAGTGGGCTGACATTGCACCACCGCACTCCAGCCTGGGCGACAGAACCAGACCACGTCTCAGCAAAGGAAAAAAAAAAAACTAAACTAAAAGGCAAACTAAAGACTGGAAAAAGTTTGCCACAGGTGTTATGAACAGATGTGAGATCAGCATGAGAAGCTCTCACACAGCAGCTCAGGTCATCTTAGCGCTTCCGGAGACTGAGGCAGGTGGGCATTTGAGACTGAGGTCAGGACTTTTGAGACCAGCCTGGCCAACATGGCAAACTCCCGTCTCCACTAAAAACACAAAAATTAGCTGAGTGTGGTGTTGGGAACCTGTAATCCCAGCTACTGGGGAGGCTGAGGCAGGAGCATCGCTTGAACGTAGGAGGCGGAGGTTGCAGTGAGCTGAGATCATGCCATTGCACTCCAGTCTGGAAAAAAAAAAAAACTCTCACAAAACGTAGACATAAACAAACCTCCATGGAAAACGCAGAGCCTTTTAAGAAGACCACAGAGTCTGTAAGTATACGGGCATCAAGTCAGACCATAATCACATAAAACTGATGATGAGGCCGGGCGCGGTGGCTCAAGCCTGTAATCCCAACACTTTGGGAGGCCGAGGCGGGTGGATCACGAGGTCAAGAGATCGAGACCATCCTGGTCAACAGGGTGAAACCCCGCCTTTACTAAAAATACAAAAAATTAGCTGGGCATGGTGGCGCGTGCCTGTAATCCCAGCTACTCAGGAGGCTGAGGCAGGAGAATTGCCTGAACCCAGGAGGCGGAGGTTGCGGTGAGCCGAGATCGTGCCATTGCACACCAGCCTGGGTAACAAGAGCGAAACTCCATCTCAAAAAAAAAACAAAAAAAAAACAAAAAAAAAACTGATGATGAAGAGGGAGACCCAGGCATCTCAGATCAACTTCCCCTTTTCATTCCTAAGACTGTAAACCAAAGCCCTTTCCATATGTAACTCCTAAGACTGTAAACAGAAACTCTTTTCACATGTTAAGCTACAAACCTAAGATTCTTCCGCGTGTAACATCTAAAGTATAAGCCTATACAAAGAAAGAACCTTCCTCTTTTAGTTGAGCTTGGCTATTAGGCAAATATGCCACCTTGCTTGCGGCCGAATAAACTCCTTCCTCCTGTATTCGGTGTCGGAGAGATCCATCTCCCGCGGCTACAACGTGATTACATTTTTGGAGGCTCACTGCTGACAGGATCACGGTGAGAAAAGCCTCTAATTTAAGTGACGCCTCCTGGAAAGCAATTTGGTACATATCAAGTTCACACTCAGACTGTGGCTTCCACTCCCAAGAAGCTTTCTGGCACTCTGGTGGACACGGTTTTCCTCCACTGTTCCTGGCTGGCAACTCCCACAGCCCTTGGTATGGACATTTGTTAGAATGTTGGGTGTGGCTTGGCGCGGTGGCTCACGCCTGTAATCCTAGCACTTTGGGAGGCTGAGGTGGGTGGATCACCTGAGGTCAGGAGTTCAAGACCAGCCAGGCCATCATGGTGAAATCCCATCTTAAAAAAAAAAAGAAAAAAAAAAAGAATGTTGGGTGTGTGCGGCCTGGGTGGCAGGGGAAGAGGGACCCTGACCTCCTACCCTCCTTTTGTCTGCCTGATTGTGGGTCTTCAGACTCTCCCAAGAGAGGTCCCACCCTATGCCCTGGGGGCAGGAATGCTGAGAAATCCCCAGGACTGGGCAGAGGGTCTTCAAGAGGTTCCCAGGGGGTGGAAGCCAGGGAGGGCACGGAAGCTCCGCCCCCTCCCACACCTCTCTCCACGGGTCTCTTCCTTGGTATCCCCTGCAATCAACCAGTAACCCTCAGCGAGCGTTTCCGAGTTCTGAGTGGCTCCAGCAAATTAAACCCAAAGAGGGTGTCATGGGAACCCCAGCTTGAAGCTGGTTGCTCAGGGGTTCCCAAGGCCCAGGCTTGCCACCGTGTGTCTGGCCGTCTTGGGATGGAGCCCTCACCCTGTGGAATCTGACACCGTCTCCAGGTAAATGGTGATGGAGGTGAATTAGAGGACCCCCAGCTGGGAGTGTGGGGAACCCTCCCTCTGCCATGGCTGTGGTGGTGTGGGTGCAGACGAACACCTGGAGTGTGTTTCCCCCACGGGAGGAAAGGACTGACATCCAGCCCTGTCAATCGTGCCCACGACAATGTTTATTCCAGGAGGAGCTGGAGGGGCCTCTCTGTCCAATGGCAAGGGCTTCATTAGCAAAGCAGGCTGCATTCTGCGGCAGCCAGGCAACTCTGAACCCGGCCCAAGTTGGGCCCAGAGCACAGGGCGTGAGCCCCCGCCCAGATAAAACCTGGTTTCCTCAGGCACATGTCCGTCTGTCTGCCCGGCAGGCCCTGTGCTGAAGGCCGGGCATCAGGGACGGTGGAGGAGGGCTGGGAGCTGGGCCTGCAGATAAGGCGGTTCACAGGCCCTGCCCTGGTGGATTCTGGGCCAAGGTCAGGGCTGGGACCGGCCAGCGGTCAGCTCCAGAGGCCACACAGCGGGGAGCCCTGGCGCCCAGCTGGGCTCCTGCTCACAAAGGCTGGCTGTTCCTTTGCAGCTCGGGCAGCGAGGCCATCTGTGACACCTTCTGGCCTCTGTGCCCCCAGGTGAGAGGCAGGCCCTCACACTCCAGCCCTGCCTGTGGCTCCAGGGCCCTGCCTTCCTCTGGAGTAAGACCATCTGATGTGGCTTTGCTTTTCCCCCAAGTGGAAATCCCGGTGGGATGGTGGCTCTTCCTCCTCCTCCGGGGATCCTTCCTGGACCCCTCCCTCCCTCCCACCCCCAGGGAACCCTGGCTGGCCTGACACAGAGGGGACTCCGCAGGACTTGGCAGATGCTCATAGGTCCTGCTCCCCACCCCACCCTCTGCCGAGGCCTCGGTCCTCCCAGAAGCCCCTCGAGAGTGGACCCAGCCTTCCAGGACACCAAAGGGTGCAGGAGAGGAGAAGGAGTTGGAAAAGTTAGCAAGGACCAGATATGGAGCAGGGAGGGCTGGGCCAAGAGTCACCTGGGCCGGCTGCAGATCCTGGCCCAGGCGGAACCAGTGATCATCTAGCTGGTGGGGGAGGGGCCCATGGGGTGGGGACCCTGGGGCAGCCCCTCTAGGGACTGACAATGAGTCTTTCCCAGGAACCCCGGCAACAGAGGGGCCTACCAGTGAGGTCACAGAGCCCCGTGATGCCCTCAGGGAAGACAGCCAGGAGGCTCTGATGAATTTTGACCAGAAAGCTGTGAAATTCCTGGCAAATTTTTACATCAACGGAGGCAAACACTGGACCCATGGGCCCCTGGGGCCGATGCTGCCAGAGCCCATCCAGTAACTTGGAGGCGGGGAGGGAGTAAGCCTGCTGGGAGTGGCAGAAATCTGAGGGACAGTGTGGAGGGGGGTGCAGGCTGAGGGGCAGGGGGGCTGGGAGTGACAGGGGGCCGAGGGACAGCGTGAGGGCCGGGCTGTGGGGCCAGGGGCTGAAGGACAGTGGCTGGGGGTCTGTGGTGCAGGCCCAAGCCATCGGTGCTATTGTTGGGCCTGGAGTCAGCGCTGGCCTGGAATGAGACGTGGCCCCCAAGGATGAAGAAGTGCCCAGCTGGCCTCAGGTTACAGATGGGTGCCCCTAAGAAGTCCCTGCCCATCTGCACTCAGACCCTGAGGGAGCTGCGTGAGTGAGGGTCCTGGCCGCCCCACCCCGCCCCAGGCTGGCCTTTGGGGGGCTGTGGGAGGGGCCTACCGGAACCATCCCAGGCCCAGAGCTTGCCTTCCGCGGCCAGTGCTGGAGCAACGCCCCCCGATCAGGACTGACCTGGACGTCCCCAGCCCTGCCAGGTACCAGCTGCCAAGCCCGTCTGTGCGAGAGTCCTCCCCACACCCCCACCACAGCATTGGCCGAAAATACCAGGGCCGAGGTGTGTGTCCCCTCCCTGGGGCCCAACCACTGGGCCTGTCCCCATCCTGGGAATGGGGGCCTCAGCCTCTGCACTGGAACCCCCATGGCCTGAGGCCCTTCCACCCCACTACAGAGGGCGGTGGGCGCAGGGCATGGCAGACGGTGTGGTTCCAGAGTGAAAGCCCCTTCACACAGAAGGCCGACTTCAATCAAGAGCAAAAGGTGGGGGCTGGGCAGGGAGTCCAGGCAGGCAGGGGCTGGGGCTTCCTTCGGGACCAAAGCGGGCTGCTGAGGGTCTGGGGAGCTCCCTGCCCTGCAGCAATGGTCTTCTGCTGCCTCACAGTGGCCCTCGCCAGCCGACTACCAGCCGCTCAGCCGGCCTGCTTTCCCCGCCTTCAGCTTCAGGGGCTGCCGCCCTGCCACCAAGACACCTGAAGGCCACACCCGCCCCGGGCTGCCTCAGGCCAGGGGGTTGGGTCTCCGGGCGCAGCCCCAGTGCCTGCTCCAGGCCTCTTTGCAGGCACCTGGCAAGAGGCACCCTGGCCCCAACACCTACAACACTCTTCCTGGGAGCCGCCTGCGGAGCCCACGCCCGCCGGCCTTCTCCATGAGCCGCTCCCCGGTGTTCCCCGCCTGGCTCAGTGGCTGTGAGGAGGCCTGGAGAGGGGAGGGCGAGGGCTGGGCCATGGGTGAGCGTGGTGGGGCCGGGGCGGAGGCTGGGAGCCAGGTGTGAGTGGGGGCTGCCACCGGGGGGGGGGCTCCGAGCCTTCTCTCTCTTTCTCCCTCTCTGTTTCTCTCACCAGCCCAAACCCCCGGCCCGGCTGCCTACCACATGGAGGACTGCTACAACTCTCGCTTCCCCTCAGCACCTGGCGTGGTCATCCAGGGTGTGCGCAGACCCAAGCGACACGACACCGGCCCCTTCTGCACGCTCTAGAGCCCGCTGGGCAGAGCCAGCTTGGCCCGGCCAACGAGCGGAACCCTGGCCTCTCCTGCGGCTTTCCCAGGCCTCCCCGGGGACCTCGGCGTCCCAGCCTGGCCTCTGACCCTCTGGGCACCCCTGGTGCACCCTGCTGGCTGGCCAACCCTTCTATGGACTGTGGACAAGGTCAGCCTAGCCTGGAGCCCCCATCTGCCCACGCCCCGCTATACAGAGATGCTGTGGGTTCTCCCATGCTCCGCAGTGTGCAGCTGTCTGTCCTTCGCCCGGGGGCGGTCCTGGAGATGTGACGGCCGCTGGGTCATTTCCAGCTTTCCCTGTTGAGGAGTCCCCCCTCGGCTGCCCTGAAGGGTGTTCTCTAGATGGCAGCGTGCCACTGACTCTGAGCTCTAGCCTGGAGTGAGACGGGAGGCTCTGTGGGATACCCCTACCCAGCTGTGCCATTCAGGCGCCTGGCCCAGCTGCTGTCCACCTGAGGGTCAGCCGCTTGCTGAGCCAGGGAACTGACTTGGTTTGGAAGGAAGCACCAAATGCCCTGCGCCACCAGCACATGGGGTCGCCGACCTGCCCTCAGGAGGGGCCCAGCCCCACTTCCCCTAGGCCTTCAGCTGGGATGAGTCACCTGCAGAAACTGTGGCCCAGGGCCCTGTAGGCTGAGCCACAGCCGCAGACTCTGGGGCCTTTACCTGCTGGGCCCCCTGCCTGTAGCTTTGCCGGGGCCTGCCCTCGTACCCGGGGTTGGGCCCAGGTAGGGCCCCCAGGCTGCCACCGTGCAGTGCAGGCGGCTTACCTGCAGCACGTGTCGCCCCTGTGACTGCACCTGTAGCTCCCGGACCCGGGCCCAGACCAAGCCCAGAGCCCAACCCCTTCAAAAAGGCTCCAGGCAGCTGCTCCTGTGGCGGCAGCTCCATCCCCTTTCGCACGGAGGACTCCAACCTAGGATGTGTGTGTGCGGTGCCCCTTGTCCTCCTCTGCCACCGAACCAGCCAGGGATCTAACGAAGGCCCTGGGCCGATCAACTTGGCCAGCGCCAACAGAGCTGTGGTTGCCTGGCCCTGGCAACAGGAACTCTGCTTCCGGCTGGGGCACCCCGGGCACCACCGGGCACCCGAGACCCAAAACCCAAAGCTGGAAGCGGGAGCGGCAGGAAGGATGGAGCGATCTCCTCCAGCTGGGCTGAGGAGGGAGGGCTTCCTGGAGGAGGTGGTGGAAGAGGGAGGCTTCAAGGAAGGGCAAGAATTTGCTGGGCAGCAGGCAAGGAATTTCCAGAGAAAACCTCAGCAGCGCAGCCCGAAAGGAGAGAGGGTGTGGGAGGGCGGCGGGGAGCCCCGGGGAGGGAGGG